GACCAGGGTGTACCCTGTCCAGAAACATGTCCGAGGTGTATCCCACCTTTGCCTGTTGACAGCTGGGATCCAGTGCTTCCCAGTGGTAGATGATGGATGGATGGAAAGAAGGATGAATAAATATAGTATAGATCTAGTATAGTATAGACTTGCTCTATATGGGAGGTCTACAACTGTTTCCCACAAGCTTGTTGCAGTCACAAAGCTGATTTAACACTATCTCTGGTTTAATATCAAGTGAACTCTGCCCTGCAGCGCTTCTTTGTTGCATGTAGTTGGTGTCAGTACAGTATAGTGTGTAGTTGTTGCAGTCACATACAGTACTGTGCATCACCAGAAGGTGAAGCAGTGCATCCTAGGATGGTTGGGTAAAGCACAATGGCAGAAACAAAGAAGCTGACACCAGTGGTTGTAAACAAGAGTCTGGGGGATTGGGCATTGACTTTTTCCTGGTTGGTTAAGACACTACAGAGGTACTGTATAAAGTTGAGCATGTGATGAGTGAAGAAAAAAGTTGAAGTAATGCTGAGTCAGGTGAGAGATTCTGATCAGTGAGCAGTCATTTTGTTTCATGCCCAGACAAAATACAATAGATTGAATCTGTCGATCAAAAGCAGATGTTACAGTGTATGTCTAGTACAGTATGTAGGACGGAGAAGGACTTCCAATCATCCTTGTGTTTGCTTTTGTTTCCAAGGTGAAGATAAGAAGGAAGCAGACAAACTCTGATAAGGACAACGGCCCTGCCTCTCCCACAATTCCCAGCATCACCTTTGACTCTGTCTTTGATGACAGGAAGGAGCCAAGTTCAGATGTTTACAGCACTGTGGGCACAGGTATGAGGAAAATCAAGACACATTAAGTCTGGTGCCGTGATTATTTTTTGTGTAACCGGCTCATGGCAAACTAACAAGGATGAATGTGTTTTCTGCATTTACGTCAAGAGCTCTTACTACTTTCTGGGACGCACTTCGTCTGTGCTGGCTCATTAAGCTCACTGTAACGACTACAGAGCATCTCTGTGTCTTTATAAACTCACTGTAATGTCACTCAGTTCCACATCAAAAAGACAGATATATATCTGACACAGGAGAAGAAAACCACACATTCAGCAGTGACACTGTAAAAAAGGATGTTTAATATTAGCATTGATTTCAGTGTTTGTAGCCACAGGATGGGGAGGAGGAGGAGGAGGAGGAGACAGGACCAAGACTAAATATTAAAGATGGATGAGCACACTGCAGCAATAAAGCGTGAGGTTGCATTTTAGGTGTAAACTCCAGCAGCGTGCTGCTGAATTTACAAAACTCAGCATACAAATATTTTTTGTATTGCTGACTTGAGAATAGAGAGCATGTAGTAATTCAAAGAGGCTACGTTTTTGTTAAATCATATGGAGTGTTCTTAAGACTTCGATCGTATTTGTCCTGTATGTCACCATTTCATAAACTAATGTCTTGAATAGACAGTGATTCTTTTGAAAGGTTTGACAAAGACAGACTGGATTCATAATGGTAATAGAAGGACAGGGAGATAGACAGGTAGATAATGGTGCCTTTTCTTCCTGTTTGAAAAGAGTTTTTGAAAAGACAAGTGTGAATAGAAGAAACATCAGTGTTATTACCTAATCAGTGCTGCACGAGGGGCATTAATAGAAACTCTGTTTCTGGCAGATGAACTGAAGTAGACTGTAGAAAACTACTTACTGGAAAAGAGAGGAAAATGAAGCACATTAACATGTATCTTTTGTTGTGCTCCTCCATATAACATCTCCTGGAGCAGATGGTAGCCAAAAAGGCTGCTCTGCTGATTTTGCTTTGACATCATTGTCGGCAGCAAAATGTAATTGTGTAATGTAATTTGCACAGACGTATAAATGTGTGTTGGCAATATGTTCAACCATAATTGGTGTTATTTCAAACTCAACGTTATTTTTGCAAACAGCAGCGCTGCACATCAGCTTAATTCCCGCAGACATAGAATCACCTTAATTAATTTATATAACAAAAAATGCCATCTGACGCTATCACAGTGATGGGAGAATCTGCTGAAAATAGAATTGTCTGTTTAGGATTTAATTTCTAATGAAATTCCATTAGAAAGGAAGGAAGTGTGTATCTCACACTGTCAGAGATGATTGACCAAATGCTGCACCTTCTAATCTCTATGACTATAATATACCATCCTATTTAAAGTTTGTTTTTTTTTTCCCGGAGATTGATTCTTAGCCTAAGTGGTTTCTACCCATGTTACCTAAGTGGTTTTGGTGTGTTCAATTTCCTGTTTTTCAGTCACAGCTCTGCTGCTGCAGTGTTCTGTACTGGTCACACTAGAGGCACTGCATGTGGCTGTTCTCTCTCTTTTAGTATGGAAATTGTTTTCACTTGTTTCAACATGGTGTTTCGGGTTGCATGTACTTAGTGTATGACAGCTGGTGTAAAGCATTGACTTTCACATTAAAAATGCTGCTTTCAATAAATGCAAGATCAGGATTCAGACATTTCTATTTTTGACTGAGAGTTAAACCAGGATTAAATCAATGGATCAACCCAAACAAAAAATTGAATACAAACAAAACCAGTCTGTAAAAACAGGGAAAAATCAGAGAGCTTGTTTTTCAATCAGAAGCATTTAAATGAGTTTGAGAAAGTCATTTCAGAAAAAGGGATCATTTACAAAAGTCTGTTTGGTCTCTGCCTCTCCTTGCGGGATGTGTCTCTTTGCTGCTGTCTTGTTCTTGTCTGTGTGCCTAGTCCATGTCCACAAAGCATGTTCATGGTCGTCCCCTGATATAAATGTGCCTGGAGACTCACTTGTGCCGTTTCTGTTATTCAAATGAGAGTTCGCTCCAGCTGTTTGGAGCTCATAGTTTTGCACCTAATTGTTTTTTTCTTGAGGGGTTACAACAAAGACCCCTCCAGCAGATGGCGCCGTAAATGACTGCCCTGCCAGCACCATGCAGACTCTGATTATAACCACACCTAACTTTGTATGTTTTTTTTTTTACTTACATTGGGTTCATGCTAGTTTTTGTTCCACTGATGCTCTTCATATGTTGTGTTGGTATCTGTATGCGCGTCGTGTGTGTTCTCTTTATGTGAACTTCAGACCGTCAGCAGTCATGGACGTCTTTATCCTCTCTTCAGTTCAGCTCATCATCTCCAGGTTAGTCTGACCTCTGACTTTGACTTAGAATAAGGACTACAAGAATTAGGTAAGTCATTTACTTGCAGTTTCTATCAAATGTTTACTTCTCCTCCTCAGTCTTACGGTGTACCCTGTAGAGATAACACTGGTAATCTTTTCAAAATCCCATTTAGACAGCCTTGATGAAAAGGTTTTAATAAATAATATCACACTCTCTTTGCTCCCAGATATTGTTAAAGGTTTGGACTCTGCATAGGATCAAAACACGAATGAAAAGACTGATTGATGCAGATTTTAGCTGAATAAATATAAAAAGTGTGTATTTATAAGCATCAAACATCAGTTGCCAATTAGTCCTGCACAGGCTATACTTACATGTCTTTTGATAAAGTAATATTTCAAAGAAAGTGTTTGATCCACTTTTATGGTTGGTCAGGAACCTAAATTTGTTTTTCCACCAGAAAAAAAAGTGATTTTCTGACTATTCTAAGTGGAGCTATGCACTGACACAGTCAATGACCACTGAAGGTCATAACATTCCCACAGAGAGAAAGCCCTTAATAAATCAATGGGGGATTTTCAGTGTTTTTTTAAAGTGTTCAAGACTAATATTTGACATGTTTGTCGTGACTAAAAAAACATTCCAACAACAGCATATCAACTAATTTGTAGTTTAGCGAGAGTTTGTCTATGTGAAGGTACAGTAGTACTTATGCTCAGGCAAATGTTGCCATTTTTGGCGAGACACACTCTCCATTCAGCATCCTCTGTCAGAAAAACTCCTCGGAATTTTCTGCAGGAATGAGCCAAGCAAAATTCTGTAAAATTTACATAAGCATGGTTCTGTAGACATAGAGTCATGGTCCTGACCAGCCTGCCAGAGAAGCCGACATTGTTCAACTATTGCATAATGAAGATGTCAGTTGCACAGAAGGAGCAGGGATTGTTGAACTGCAATTTTTTTCTCTTCATTTTCAGACAAAAAGAAAACTCAAATGGAATTATTACCTCCTGTCCAGTTGGTTATTGTCCATTTAAGGGGACCTGGCCATTCTTTTCTAAAGACAAATATTATTTGTATGTGTGTCCGCGTATGTCCAGACAAAAGAAACCCTGGACTTTTGGACGTCCAGTCCTCTGGTCCTCTGCAGAGACACTGCAGCTTTGCAGATGACCTGGAGCTGGAGTCGGAGAGAGAGAGCGAACTGACTCCCGTCACCTCCGTGTCACAGTGAGTTCACTGGAGTTGCGCTAATGCTCTGTTTGTGTCCAAGTGTGACTCTAATGAGCATATTAGCGAAGGACTGCATGTATTATGAGCAATTTACTGTTAACCTCTATTATGTGCCTAATCCAGTTTTGAGCTCTACTTTGCTGTGCAATCATCTCTGAGTGAGAAACACTTGCAGAGACACTTGCACAGTAAGAGAGCGAGACCAATGAGAGGGAATGGCTGTTAAGTAGCTGCGCTGTAATGTAAGGGCACTGTGGTGAAGCAACTGTTTCAACCCATGGGACCAACTCTCTGAAAGGTGGCTTAATGATGCACAGATGAAATGCATGCAGCGTCGTCGGCGAAGATCACTCCATGGTCTGCTGACTCCAAAATACTGTAGATAACCAGCTGTTTTCCCCAGACTAATATCACAGTGTATACCAGGTTAAAGTGGGACATTATGAGACATTACTGCTGCTTTTATTCACAGCAAGGGGAGATTTAGGACGCTTGGAAAATATGCCTCTCTCAATAATGTTTGTACAGACAACAGCCGAGCACTTCTACAGTCAAGTGTCTGTTCAAATGTAGACTGTAGAAGTACAGAGTTAACAAACCATGACATAAAAAAAAAAAAATTTAAAGACGCGAACTTGCAGTGCTGTATTCTACTACACGTCTTGAAAATTCACTTGTGTGAACCTCCTGCTCAAAGGCAACATGGATTTTGTTGGCAACACTGACAGCTACTAGTAACTTTGAAAAAAAAAAGCGATATATGCTCAGACAAGGCTTTTTTTTCAGTAGGAATTTTTCAGTTCTAGTTCTAGCAGGAAACAGATGTTTGTGGAAGTTGGACTTTGTCTAACGTTTGCTGTTAAAATAATTGCTTAGAAAGTGGTATATAAAGTTTTAATACACCATTTTTGTATTGGAATCAAATATGTTTTCTATGGTGCAATGGTGTTTTGGGAGAGAAAAAATCTTTGCAAAATTGTCACATTATATCAATTAAATAAAAAAAACACAATAAAAATGCAATTGATGTTTAAATGTTTCTCACTTGTGATTTTAGCTTAGCCTACCCTTCTGTTAATGCAAAATCAATACAAAGTATTGTCATTCTATGGTGGCTTTTATTGAAATGAAATACCTGAATACTCATTCATAATTCATGAGTTTTATCATCCCAAAATCTTTAAAGTTAATGCTATTTATTTGTATTGCTACTAGGGAAAATCACTGCTATCGGTTACAATGCTAACCGCTATTTATTTGTATTGCTACTAGCGAATAGCGAATCACTGCTATCGGTTACAATGCTAACTCCTGCTAAGGAGAAAATATCAAAGTAATCACTACATGTTTATCTTTATTTTTTATTTTTTTCATTAATAGAAGAGAGGAATTAAATACTCATTATGGTCTCTTATTGCATGACCACTACATAGGCATTTGCATCTGATTGGTGGGGCGGATATAGAGCTTCACCATTCACTGACTTCAGTATTGATGTGCCACGATGAAGGCTGTACTGTACTGTAATAACATGCCTTTGAAAACCACTTCCACTGTATGTAAAAGAGTCCATTAAGCATCATGACCACATTCAGCTATGACCAGATCTGATGAAGATCTCACTGCCTGTCGCAGCATCACTATGTCCATTCCCTGAGACCTTCCACACACAAAGACTTAAATTCATTTCATCTCATATTTCTGCACTGCTTCTGGTCCTTGGTGACTAATAGATCCTTAATAATTCCTTGCTTATAAAAGGTTCTAAATATCCAGCAGTCACTCCATGCATTAGTGGTGTTCAGAGAAACAAACAAACCCCAGAAATCAATGCCTTTTGCTTTTGTCGCATTCCAAGGCAGAAAGTCACGAGGGAGCCGCGCTGCACCAAATATTCAGCCTCAACTGTTGTTGTTGTTTTCTTTAACCAAAGGTCATATGAACGAGGTTTATTGCTTTACTATAGCAAGGAATCATTAGACAATGATGAACCAAGTCAGAAACCAATAGTTACTGACACTTACATTCATGAAGAGCAACCACAACAATATTCACTCTACAACACACACACTCGCACGTCTCATTTTATGTCCTCAAGAGAAATTTCAAAATAATAAATAACACTCTCTTTTGAAACTAATTTCCACAGACTGACAGAGTCACATCGAACAGCCATCAGGGTGATCCAGAGGATGCGGTACTTTGTTGCCAAAAGAAAGTTTCAGGTATTTTTGACACAAATTGTATATTATACATCATTTAAACTGCAGACAATTTGGTTTTCATTTAAAAACCTGATTTCCAGAGGGGTTGGTCACCTTGGCAAAAAAAGCAAAGTATAAAAAAATCTTATTCACATAAGCTTTTATTTATTGAGAGAAAGACAGAAGTGTTCGTCACTGACTCAATTGTATTAGTTAAATTGAAACAGTCTAAGTTTTGACCAGTTTAATTTTAGCAGTGCATCACATCTATATAGCTTTTTTAGCTTTTTTCCTTCCTTAAAACAAGATACTTTTTTCATTGTCGATTTTCTCCTCAGGTTTATTGTTAGGTGATGAGCCCTGACTAATTCCTGCCTGCAAAGACCAACTCTTTGAATGTCTCTTTTAATACCTGTAACCAGTTAACCAGTAAAGTTGGTATTTTAGAAACTTCCCAGAATGTTATAAATACAACATAGTCCATGAGTAGCAATCCTGGTTGTTGTTTTTGGAAATACTTGGTTTTCAGTGTGGCTTTACAGTGTGTGTGTGTGTGTGTGAACAGAATAGATGTCCGCCGTCTGAAAACATCTTTGAGGGTTTTTTTATGTTTTTTAAAAATGGTTTAAATTTGCTACGTTTTTTCCTGCCTTCTGCACTACTCTGAACATTTTTTCACTTGTGATACAGAAACTGTTGGAGGAACTGAGGTTCAATTCCCAACTGTGCTCTAGCCAAAGGGATTATGCAAAACCCTTGGTCTGGGCAGGGATTTTGAAAATGCTTTTTTAAACCACTGTGTATTTTGCCTAAGCACCCAAACACAATATTTATGCTTAGCAAAAAGTTTGAAATAAAGCCACATTTACATGCTTGTATTCCAAACTTTTCTGAACCGGTGCAGCAAGCCCGGAAGCCGTATGACGTGCGGGACGTGATTGAACAATACTCCCAGGGTCACCTGAACCTCATGGTGCGAATTAAGGAGTTGCAGAGGAGGTAAATAAACGGCTTGTTCTGAATTACTTTAGCTCTGCCAAGCTTGACTTTGATTAATTATATTTTTTATTAAAAGATCTGCTAAAAAAATGACACTGAATAAAGAATGTGTAAAAGTATATTCTTTTTTTGACATTTTCTTTTTGTCTGTCAGATTAGATCAGTCTTTAGGGAAGATAAGTTTGTTCCAGGCGAGCTCAGGTAATGAATCACAACATTCCTCTTATAGAAATATTACTGTAAGTAACTATGCATAAAAACATATCACTTATCTGACTGTTCCATCTTTTGCTGCAGACAGGGCCAGAGACAAAGGCAACAACTCAGTGGGCTGCAGACTTAACAGGATTGAAGATAAGGTGTGGTTTGTGCTTTTACTCTGAAAATTTTCCTAAGTCTCTGTATGGCCTGGGATCATAGCATTTAATTTTATATGAACACGTTTTATTCTACTTAACTTAACACATTCACTTTGAACAAATATTTTTCAGATGTTGATCTTTGGGTTTCGGTTGTTGTTTTTTTTTAACAAGTTATTGTTTTATTGTGAAATGTTTTGCCTTAAAACAGCAGTGGTGGCTTAGTGGTTAAGGAAGCGGCCTTGGGTCCGGAAGGCTTCAGGTTCGATTCCACCAGCTGCCAAGTTACCACTGAGGTGCTCTGAGCATAGCACTGTCCTGACACACACGTTTGGTGGTGTGCAGTGGTGTGCTGTGTTGCCCCTGGTAATGATAAATTACTGGTAAAAAGATTAAACTGCCCACTGCTCACTTTGGTGATGGGTTAAAAGCAGAGGTCACATTTGGTGGTGTGCAGTGGTGTGCTGTGTCACACTGACAAGTAGTTCACTGTCCTTCAGTTTGTGATAAAAGATATACAAAGATATTGCTACGAAATTCTCATTTAAATTTGGGCAATTCGTTTTCCAAGCAGAAACCTCAGAATTTAATTTTTGTTAATACTGATTAATAAGTCACTGAGTTAATCTCCAAACTGCTCCACCTTAACTGTCGCTCTCATCCACTCACTTCTAATCCTGTCCATCCTGGTCACTCCCAGTGAAAATCTCAGCATCTTCACCTTGTCCATCGCCAGCTCTGCCGGTTTTCTTTTAGACAGAGACACTGTCTCACTAGTGTCTTATAAACCTCCCCTTTAAACTTTGCAGCTATTCTTTGCTATCAATGCTACCTAATTAATGTTGATTACAGGGGTGACCTAAAAATAAAATTTGAATGAATGAGTTTTAAATATTTAATCTTTGTTAATCCATTGGTTTGGATGGAAAGTTCAAATGGTGGGAAAGAGGAGAGACGTGAGTCAGAAAACTAAACAACATTATTAAGTTTGGGTCATGTTATTATTAAACTAATAATAATTAAAATAACAGTGCTTGTTAGATTGATAAACAGAACCTGAGTAATCATTATGTAGACAAACACACTGTTAGCATTATTTTGTTCAACTACAAAATGAAATGTATAATACTCTTGTCTGTAATTCACTGTCACACCCAAGGTAATTCAATTATGTGAATACAATAGAAACAGTGATCTGTGTCTGATCTCCATCATAATCATATGTCATTGACTTGCTCAGCAAACAGGATAATAATGATAATTATGTGATAAACCAGCAGAAATAATTGCTTTGACTTGTTGCAGGTAACTCACATGGAGCAGACGCTGAGCCACATTGCAAAATCCCTTGCTGTTTTGCTCGACCAGAGGGATGTCGGCAGAGATGAAGGCAGAGGCCGGTCGAGGCCGCAGCATGGACTAAGCAGTAATGTCGTACCCAGCCAGGATAGCCTGCCAAGCTACGACCAGCTGTCTTCATCACCTTAGTCCGTCTCCTCCAACATGGCCAGTGCTGCAGCCTGCCCAACTCTGCCCCTCAGAACTGCTGCCAGTCAGGTTGGAAACTGCTAAAATAAAAAATCTTTTTTTTTCTTTTTTTTTTCAAACTCATAAATGGTTCCACATTTCTGAATGTGTTTATCAGAAGTAGCAGCTGTTGCTTTGCAGAGCAGTATTGTAATGAAATTTATGCAAAATATCTCATGAGACGTGCGATACGTGTGATGTATGTGAGCAGGAAATCATCATTCAATGTTGCAACGGCTGCTTTTTCTACTTTGATTGTTGAATATAAATGTCTGTTACAATATTCTACTTGAAATGTTTTTTTTTTTCAGATTGATTCCAGAGACACTGCTCTGACTTCAACATCATGTTTTAGCATATTTAGAAAACAATGATGCCTTGGTCTCCATTGTGTCTTATGATTCAAATATATATGATATGCAGTATATTGTTTTAAATGTGTTATATCGTAGAGTAGTGAATTGTTGGTGCTTCACTTGAAATGACTCACCTGATTTAAACTGTATCCACTATACTATATATTTTACCATTGTTGAATAAAGAGAAATAATCTGTAGCAATAAAAATGTAAACATTCCACCACGTTCAGTCTGTGTGAACAGTTCCTTCATGTTATTCTCTGACATTTAACCAAATGTTTTAAATGTTATTAGGAATTCAGTTCATACTTTTCCCTCAGCCATCATCTGTCAAATGGATGGTTGAGTCATTAAAACATTTCTTAGAAATCATCTCTCTGCTCTTACTAACGACTTCCCCTTTGTTGCAGTGAGGTGGGGGTGGTGGTCAGTGACTTTTGGAAGATGGCCGAAAGAATGGCTCATACCATGTTCTTTACACACGTAACCTTTGGGCGGCAGATGGTGACCTTTTCCCTGTCAGGCGTCTGCAGGGTTCCTGTGGATTCCAGCACATAAGTGGGCTTTTGAAGAAAAGGCCTAAATGACCATCTGCCTCTGGTGTCCACAACAATAGAGCCTACCCTTTTTAAAAGTGTGCTGAGGGTGTTTGGCCTTTGTGCTGACCACGGGTTGGGTGAGGGGAGTGTTTCTTTAAGAAGGGTGCAGGAGCTTTAAGTAGTTTTTGTCTTCAGGTAATTGCTGCTGTTTTGGGTATGGGTGGAGGAAGTCATATTTATGTTATGGCCGTCATAAAAACACAAATAGTTTTTTTGTTTGTTTTGTTGTTTTGGGGTTTTGTTTTTTTACATTTTTTAAGAATATGGTTCAGACACTACAACCATTATTCTACTTATTTCCTTTCAACCTGCACATTTAAAAATCTGTATGTGTCAGTTAAAAATATCAGGCGTTACCCAGCACTTTCTTGCAGTTTTATGAACCTGCAGCAGATGGTTTTTTTTTTCAAGCAGCATAATGTTGTACCAATTCTAAGAAAGGCACTGAAATCCAAGTGACTGCTTGATAAACGCATCACAGACAATGGTGACTGTATTTGGATGGATTTAATGATGTAGTAGGATGGTTATATTGGAACTCCAACGGACCCTGGGCACCCAGGGGGATTTTGTATATTGATTTCTTGACTCGTCACCTATAGAAACAAATTCACTGGAACAGAGTGTCACATCATTTGTTGCTCATTCAAACCCTAACCTCTGACCATTGTAGGTTCTTAACACTGCATGTATATTAAAATGTACACATTCTTTATTCATATTCATCATGCCAACACATAACTCCAGATCCTGATTCCTTAGCTATAAAGCTAACATGAGTAAAAACCAACGTGAGCACATGTCAGGCTAACAGCTACTTTGACTATGAAAAGGACTAGTGGACAAAAGGGAAGTTGGGCAAAGACCTGGGGGGTGGGGAGACTCCAAAGGCTGATTTGCAGGTGAAATGGATGGCACACTCAGCCTTTGGCCATTGTCGTGCAGTTTGGCCAGATGGCCATTTTAAAATGCTTCAGTGCTGAAACCCCTAAAACTGAGTGAGTGAGTGAATACAGTTCCGAGGGATATGGTCACATTTATGGGCTAATTTGGCTGCTACAGCCCACGGCAACTGTTATAATTCCAAGCCTGACATTACAGGCTCGGGGCCTGTGATTATGAACATTGCATAAAAAATTTAGATTTGTAATATTGTGCAGCTAGTGCAGTTACTCTAAAATGTCTGTCCCCTGTAAAACTGTCAAAAATGTTCCTAAAATACAAGGAAACAATAACAAAACGATGCATTGCTGCAAACTGAGAAAAATAACCTTTTTCCTAGTCTACATTTATATTAATATTAGATTTACTGTAATATATTATCACCAGTGGGTGTCAAAATCCACTTGAATACTCAACACAACACTACAACTCCGAATGAACTATTTTGAACTAGACCACTGGCTGACAGTTGATTGAAAAGGGTTTCATTTCTGCCTAGTTACCAGATCTGTCAGAATGCTTAAACAAGACACGGTACATATTTCTTGCATCTTCCCTGTGGTTCCCTTGGTCAACTGGGGAATTTGAAAATTGCATTTAACCAAACACATCAGTAAACAGTGGGGTTGTAGTAAATGAAGCAACATTAAGTATCAATAGCTAGTATTAAAAACTTTATTTGCTATCTTTACAAACTTTCATTTGGAGACACAATAGTGCTTTTTGATCAGAAGTCAGCAGAAGCAGCTCAGTGCAATGAATTAAAAGACAATAGACAAAGAAACTAAATGAACAAAGCAAATTGAATAAACACATTTTAATAGTTCTTTTGTTAAAAAAATTAAATAAATTATCCCCAAAACATTTTTGACAAGTTAAATATATTCAGAGAAATTACCAAGTGGAAAAAGATAGTTTAAAAGACGTTAAATTAAAATCATGGACCATAAATAAAATAAATAACACAAAATTGTAGAATTTCATGTTAATAAACTAAAAAAAGAAAGATAAATAAAACAATAAGATGTATTCAAGTTCAACTCCTTGTCGTGCAGTGAGGAGGTTCAGTTCATGTTTTTGTTTTAGTTCGATGATCATCTTATTGTTCTGCAGGACGCTGATTCATTTGTGTGAGTCAGGATGCTCTTGGTTTCTGATGTCTTCCTTCTTTTTGCAAAGAAATCTGCAAATTAAAGATGATTCGTCAGTCAATACATCCACAAAGTTATACAATAAAGTGAAAAAAACAACTATGTGTGAAGTCTAGTACTAAGACTTTGGCTCTTTACCTGTGATCCGTGGGTCGCTCTTAGGTTTGGCTGCAGCTTTGGAGTGCGACCTTTTCCTCCGGACGGGCGTCACCTCTGCGGGACACTTGTGGGTGTTTGAGATGCTGGGACAGTTCTCCTGGTCGGTGCCTGTGCTGCCATCACGGTGGCTCAGTCTGTCACCCGCACCATCATGGTCGCTGTCATCATCTTCAGTGCGTGAAAGCGAACCGGCGTCTCGCAGCTGTGCCTGGTACAAATGAGCAGCGCAGTCTGTGGGTATTTCCTCCCACTCAAACCTGCCTGGGAGCGGCGTGTCAGTGTGGAAGTCAAAGTTCCAGCGGCGCCTGTCCTCCTCCATCATCTCCATCATCCTCTGTTTCAGGTCCCGGCGCAGCTGGTCGTGGTCCACGGGGCCAAACAAGCTGCGGCGAGCCGAGTCAGCGCGCCTGATGGGATCCATGCTTCACTTTGGTCCTGGAGCTGTGATGGTGAGATGGAGGTGTCGATGCTGATGTTTCCTCCGTCACTGGTGCGGTGTCAGTGCTCTGGTCATGCCACAGCTGCTGCCTGCTGGTTTAAATACAGCGGGCGCACTCTGTTGTTATTTGTGCACAATGAGCAGAGGCCGCGGATTGGCTGCAGCTGCTCAATAGACTGAAAAGAGGGGGCGGCCGAACTACTGAGTACATCACTGTTGTTGTAATGCTGTTGGAAAACAGTCAAGCCTTAAAACTCATCTTGTCCTCAAAGTCTCCTACAGTTCCGTAAGAGAACTTCGGATAGAAAGAATTACAACCCCTTTGTTTTTCTTTTTAGATGCTGGGAGTTTGTTTTGTTTTGGGTTTTTTTACATTAATGCCTCTCCCTCTACCAAACATGACCAAAACACTTTGTTTTCTTTCAGGGCATCTGTACATCTCCTCTGAGGTCTTCTTCTTTTTCTTTGTCCTGGTGACTCCACCTCGCACATCCTTTGTCCAATATATCCAGTATCTCTCCTCAACACACGTCCAAAACATCTAACATCTAATTTTTCTCTAACTTTATCTCCAAACTGCTCCCCCTTAACTGCCCCTCAAATCTGCTCATCATGCTGTCTGTCCTTGTCACTCCCAGAGAAAACCTTACACAGCCCCTCACATACTTCTCTGCCACTCCTGACTGTCTCACACAGTACCACAGTTCCTCTCTGGGCACCCTATCATATACTTTCCTTAAACTTACAAAGACACAGCTCAACTCCCTCTAACCTTCTTCTACCAGCACTCTTAGAGCAAAGAGTTAATCTGCTGTGCTTTTCCTTGGCATAAAACCAACCTGCTGCCCACCAATCCTAACCTCTTGTCTCAGCCTTGCCTCTTTCCCATGCCTTCATTGTATGGCTAATCAGCTTTATACCTTTGTCAGAAAGTTCACAGCACTCTCTTGTGAACGTCATCTGAACCAACAGCTTTTCCACATTACATCATCCTCAAAGTTGCCCTCACTTCCTCCTTCCTAATTCCATGAACTTTCTGATTAACCACCTGTCCTCCATCTGTCCTTATTTCTCTCTCATTTTCCTCATTCACAAGATCCTCAAAATACTATTTCCATCTTCTCAGCACT